AGCCCAGAGCCGAGCCCAAGGGCAGACGGTGCCAGGGCAGGGTGGGTGTGTGGCTGCTCTGGTCTCTGCACAGGCACCGGGGCCAGGCTCTGACCCCTGATGATGGACCAGGGCTCCAAGCCTTCATCCTCCAGCTGCTGCACCACCCTGGCAGCAGTTTCTCTGCCCAGCCCGACTCTTGTGGGGCTGTTCTTGGCAGCTGTAGGACATGTGGTCCCCCACAGCAGAAGGCACTGCCTGGCTGGAGTAAATAGTGACAGTGATCCTGGCAGGACATCTCGCCTCCTGAGCAGTCCTGGGGTGAGACTGGTGGCTGCATGTGCAGTGGGAATCCGTCCCTGCTCTCTCAGGTGGGCTGTGTGCTGGCGAGGGAGCAAGTGACTTACCAAGAAACAACTGGGGAAAGTGAATGTGATTCTGGTTTGTTTTCATTACATTTGGCAGGTCTGTTTGTTGCCAGACAGGCTTGTTTGTTTGAGTTGCAATGACTCTGATTTGTTGTGGAAAACTTTAAAAATAAATAAATAAATAAACATCCTGGTGTCGCTTCAGCAGCGTTCTGCAGCGGAGCGCTTTGGGAGGCTGGCAGGAGGGATGTCTGTGGAGGGGGAAGGCAGAGGGCTGTAAAAGAGAGCAGTGCTTCCCGGCATCCAGAGATTCACTGGAAGGGATGGGGGGATTTCACAGGGCGCCTGGGAGGTGCTCAGGGATGAGGGACCCGTGCGTGGGACTGGGCTATTGCCACGGCTTCTGCACTGTGTCCAGAGCTCATCTGGAGGGGAGATCGCCCGTGTCTGCAGTTAACTTCACAGACAAAGGCTTTACATTGTGCTCGGCTGGGAGTCCTCTCCCAGCCTGCTGGGGACTGTGCAGTGTTATCCTGCTTATCCCAGCGGGTCTTGTTCTCCAGTTACGGGGCAGGAAGAGGGTGCGTCCTGCGGCAGAGGGGTGACACCCTGGGGGTGTCCCCAGGAGCCGGTGCAGGGGCATGCGGAAGGATGCAGGGAGCAATGGCTTGAGTGGGATGGGGCAGTCACTGCAGGCAGGGGCACCTCAGCTTGACACCCACTGCAGCTGTACAGGGAAACTCTGTCATGTCTCGGCAGTGGCGTCCAGAGGCAGGTGGGTGTGAAGGATGTACCCACACTGGGAGGTGAGGTTTGGCTGCTCTTACTCCTGGGGACCCAGCGTCTCCCCGTGCGGTGCCGATGGCAGCACAGCCACCCTGGCTTCCTTGCTGTGGCTTGTGCTTACTGATGCAACTGCTGGAGGAAGGTCTTTGTTTTCCAGAAAGGCCCTAAAATCATCTGTCCTATGTGAACCTAGACCCTTGGTCAAGACCGCAGTCATGTCCTGTGTTGCAAGTACAAAGGTTGCTTTTATTCCCTGGAGACTTGCAGCCAAGCGTGCTCCTGAGCTGGGCCAAGCTGGGTCTGAGCTGCTTGCAGTAGAGCTGCCCCTTCCCAGGTCTGGAGAGCAGGAGACCCTGGCAAAGGGAGTTTGAGCTCTTTGCAGGTCATTCATTTTAGAAACATTAGTGACCCAAACCCTGGGAACAATCTTCTAGATGAGCAGCATTTGCAAAGTGTTCCCTTGTGTAGTTTAGCAACTTTCTGATCACCTTGCAGACTTGTCTTGACAGCAGCATTAGGGTGGGACATTGCAACTTTATTTTGGTGCTGCTAGCATGCTCATTAGCACAGTATCTGGGTGATGAGGTGTCATTCATCTGTTTACAACATGACTTTATTGCAAGGAAAAGTGACTTTATTGCAAGGAATTACATCAGCTCAGGTTCGAGTCCTTTGTCCATCTATTGCTGGTCCTATTCGTGGTGCAGAGGGGCCCCATTCTGCACCACCTTTGGGGTGTATTCACTTGTTCTTTGAGTCAACTGTAAATTGGAGCTGGGTGAGTATTGCAGCCACTCAGATAAACCACTGTCTGCTAAACGGCTTTGCAAAACTTATGTCCCAATCACTTTTAAATAAGCAATTTGTTTGCAAGGATGCTTACAGAAAGTAAGTCTCTTAAATTGTTGTGCAAATGTGAACTCTCTCCAGCATTCAGTGGAAAAGTATAAGCAGCCACCTTCACGTCCCCCTGGCTGTGTGACAGTATTTCAAGAGAAACCCTTGCATGTGCTGTAGCTGAGCCCCAGCAGCTCACAGAGCCCCTCACACAGGCTGGGGCACTTCTCTATGAGGGGACAAGCCATCTTGCTAGAAAACGCTTCTTCGAGGTGAGAAGGTCAGGCCCCCCGAGTCTGCTGGGCTGGACCTGCTGCCTTGAGGTGTGCCAACGCCATTCAGGGTCCGGTGTGTGTTCTCCTGCAAGAAACCTTCCGTTGGTGAAGCTCCATGTGCTGCGTGCTGGGACGTTCTCGCCCCAAACAGCCCGGAGTGAACAGAGCAAAGTTAAAGTTAATTGTGACCGCTGCTGTAACGTAACCCAGCGCTGCCGGGTCTCCTCTGCTGGTGGCTCCTGCCAGACAATCCACGCGTGACGGTGCCCAGTGCTTTGTCTGCTGGCGCTGGCACCTCATGCAGACGAGGGGTGAGTTTTTTTCTGGTGCTGCGGCGTTTCAGCCCTTGTCCCAGCACGTGCCGGGTCCTTCCCTCTGCCCGGGACCCCGTCCACAGCTCGTGTGCGTTTTCTGCGAGCTCTGGCTCCTGGAGCCCCTTTGGTCTCGGGCACTGGGGTTTGTTTCCTGTTGATTCAAAGAGAGTCAGAACCCAGCAGTGTCCCCCCTTTTCTCTGGGCACTAATAAGAACGAGCCCTTTCAGTATTTTTCCCATTAACACCTCGGAATTGGAATTTGTTTCTGCCTCTCAAAGAGCTGACCTGCTGAATTCCTTTCTCCTTAAGCACGGGGCGGTCTGGCCTGCAGGCCCGCAGGATGCATCGGGGGAGTTGCAGATTAATATAGCATTACACATTCCTTCTCCTGCCCCTGGAGTAAGCTGGCTCTAAAGCCAGGCGTTAGGAGACGGTCAGCAGGGAAAAGCGAGCTGGAAGCAGCTATGGTTGTGCTTGGAGTGGAGATGGCAGCCACAGAGAACGGGACCAGCCGCACCACAGCAGGCTGGGGGGCAGGCGGCGGGTCCCGGGGCGGTGGCCGGGTGCCGTCCCCCTGGGCACGGGCCGGCATGGCTGGCTCTGGGCCGCTGCAGCCGGGACTGCTTGAGGCGAGAGGACCCGAATCGTGGCTAGGCTTCTTGTTGGGTCCTCCAGCCTGGGATGGTGTGGGAAGGGAAGGTGAGGAGCTGGGCAGCACCATGGGCTGGAAGACTTTGTCCACGGTACTTCTGGAGGGGTGTGAGGGCAGGGCAGGCAGTTTCAGGATAGCTGTGACTCCATGAAACAGTTTTCCTGGGGCACTGAGCTGTGCGGGAGCTGGTTGGGCTCCTGGCATTTGTGTTGCTGACCTTGGCGTGATGGGGTGTCCCATGGGGAGGGAGCATTTCTCTTCCCCTTGGCACAGGACAGTGTCCCTTGGCAGTGCTGCAGGCACGTCCCCACTGCCATGGGGCTGCGGGACGCAGGGCTGGAGGATGGTCACTGCATGTGGAGCTGTCTGGCACGCAGCTGGGCTGAGCCCTGGGGACCTGCTGCCGCTTGCCAGGCCATGGGTGACCTCCTGGCACAGGGTGGCATGCTGGGGGCTTGGCACTGGCACAGGGATGTGGCAATGGGATGCCTGCACTGGTGAGGTGGCTGCTGGCACCGCACGGGGGTCCCTGCTGTCTTGGGTGTTCCAGAGCATTCCCAGGGGCTGCCGTAGCACAGCTGAAACAAAGCCCATGTTTTCACCAAGGAACAATGAGTGTTACTTTCCATGTTTGGAGGTTCTTTTCTTTGGTTGCCTGGGAAGCTCATAGGATGGATGGAGAGGTGGCTTTCTTGTTGTTTGTGTGGCCTGTGTAGGTCGGCTGGTCTTGTAGCATCACTTTGGCTGCTGAGGCACATCAAAGTGCTCGTGCAGAGACCAGCTAATGCCTGGCAGGTACCCGCTCTCGTTCCTGGGGGTGGTCCCCAGCGCAGTGACTGACTCTTGGCCCTGCAGCAGAGACAGACTGCAGGGGCTGTCACCCTCCTGCCAGCATCCCCTTTCCCTCATCATGAGCTCATTAAATGTGCAGCCTGGATGGAAATATTCTGACTCCTGATTTTAAAAATAAACTGTTGGGGACAATATCTCTCCAAAGAGGCTGGCTTCTGCCTGTGTCACTCTAAAACGGTAAAAGTGGCAATTGCACATGCAGATTTTGGAAGAGGAAGTTGTGCAGGTGATGGGTGGCTCTCACAGGTGCCAAGGTACCAGGAGAGGGACTGGTGAGCCAGCTGTTGGGACCTGTGAAGGTTGCGTTGTGACTTGCACACTAGGGCGATTGGGAGGCCGGTTGCTCTGCATGTGTGATTAATAAAGACATGGTGCATGACCCCAGGAATGAGCATCTGGCACAGAACACATTTGGGGAGTGAGAGGGGAAGAACAAGCCACAGAAAACAAATGTCTCGCCTGCAACCCTGTGGGGCATCTGTGACTGAGGAGACTTGACTCTGTGGTTGGCGCGGGTCGTGGCCGTGCCTCCCTCGCCAGCCGTTCTGGCTCTGCACCCCTCTTGCTGGGAGATCTCTGTTGTTTCTGTCCAGTGACGCTGTGGGTTTTGCCGGCCTGGCTGAGGGCTGGAAGGGGATGAGTGCTCTGTCTGCACGCAGGGACCAGCAGATGTTTCGCTGCAGCGTTGTCCCTGAGAATAACTCCCTTGTGTGGGAAAGAGCCCTCCGTCCTGCTGGACCAGGAACAGAAGCAGCATCTCCCAGCTCCATAAATTCATCCGCCAGTAGCACAAATCTGCATCTGTGCTGCTGGGTGGTCTCTGCTCTGGCTGGAGACGGGAACCTGGAAACACATTTTTATTCTCTGGATGAAGTGAGCTTTCCTCCCAGAATGGATCCCGATGAAATGTCCTGGGCTGGCGTTTCCAAGAGGAGGATGTTGGCTGGCGAGCAGAGCCAGCTCTCCTCCGCTGGAGCCACGAGGCTGCTCTGTGGGGTGTAGCCAGGCCAAAACCAAAGAGATGTCTGCTCTTGGGGTCATGCTGAAGGGGCTTCTGGAGGGGAGCGGCACACGTGGGAGGTGTGTGGGTCCGTCACCAACCAGTGCCACTCTGGGACAGGAGGGAGGCGAGGGGCTTGCCATGAGGTGTCCGGGCATCCCATGGGATGGTACCCGGCACCAAGGGGGGACCTGTGCTGAGCTGGGTTGTGCCAGTCCTGAACCCCCCTGCCTGGCTCTGGGGCAGCCCCTCGGCACGTGAGCTTGGGCACCTCCTTGGGCACCATCCTCCTGCCATGCCGGGGTTTGGGCACCGTGCGCCCGTCTTGGCACACCGCGGAGAGGGAACATCAGCCGGCTGTGGGCCATGTCCCACAGTGAGTGGCTGTCCTCAGCTGAGTGCTTGGCCCTGAAAACCCCTCTCCTTGCCAGCGCTGTCCTCCTGCTCTTGGCAGCTGCCTGTGCCTGGCCTTGGGGCTGCCGGCAGTGCTGGAGTGGCAAGAGGCTGCCCGTGGCCACCACTTCTCTCTGAGCTGGTGGACGGCTCCTGACCCCTGGCAGGGTGTCAATCCGCAGGGCTGGGACCTGGGACTCCATGGCAGGGTGCCTGGGCACGTGCCCGCCTCAAGGGCAGGGATCTGACAGCATGGGAGCCCGGCTCTGCAGTGCTTCTTGAGCTGTCTACTCACCACCTCTTCTCTCCTCTTGCCAGGAACAACTGTGTGTCCCCCTTGTGACAATGAGATGAAGTCAGAAGCCATTGTGGAGCACCTGTGTGCCAGCGAGTTTGGTAAGGGGGAGCACTGGGGGCACGGGGAGGCTTTCCTGGGGGGCACAGGGCAGCGTGGTTCCTGTGTGGGCCAAATCCTGCACCACTGAGTTTCCCTGCCCACGCTGAGAGCCGTGGGGCCAGCACTGTGGCTGGTGTGGCCATGTCGCCTGTGGGCAGCCGTGGTCCTTGCCTGAGGCAAGGCCACCCTGCCTCTAGATGTCAGTGTCAGCCCGCAGAGGTGGGCAGCTGGACAGGACGGGACTGGACATGTTCAGGACGTGTCTGGCTCCTGCAGCCGAGCACACCCTGGGGCTGGGACAGTGGGGACCAGGCAGCGGTGCCTGCACTCCTGCATCACCCCGGCTGTGGTGCTGAGCATCCTTCTGCCCCACCTGGCGAAATGCCATGTGGGACGAGGCCCGGTGCGTGGGATCACCGGCCGAAGCAGCGATGCTGCAGGCTGTGAGGCCCTGCTGCTGCGAGCAGAGAACCAGATGGTGCTGGTCTGGAGCCTGGGGATGGGGCAGAAGTGGCTGTGCCTGTTTGCTGAGCTCACTGGGGTTCGTAACTTAACCCTGGTGTTCCCATGCTCTTGTGTGCTTGCAGGAATGATGTGTAGGATGGACCCTTATTCTGGTTGCAGTCGTGAGGAGCAAACCAGCTTCCTCCTTCCCCCAGATTGCTTGTGCTGCTGGGTTTCTCTTTAGCAAAGTTATGCTGCTCTTGTCAAGTGTAGGTGTAAAAACCCAAAGCCAGTCCTTGTCTGACTAGGACATAGCAGTGAGCTTAAAAAATGCAGAGCTACTTGAAAGCTGTGTCCTAAATGTATTATGAGTGAGTGAGTGAGTGAGTCAGACAATTGTAGGTAAACAGAACTTCACTTAAAAAAAAAGAAGTATCACAGGGAAAAATATTAGCTTTCTCAGATCAAACCTAGAATTAACTGGTTTTGACATCCTTGCTGGTGTATGGAACTTTCCCGGAAGGTTATTAAAGGCGTATTGAACAAGGTGTGCATTCCTTGGGGATTAGCACTCGAGTGTGCCCTGTGCCAGAGCGCTCTGTGCAAACCCAAACCTGCTCTGCGTGTTGGCGTTATTACCCTTTCTGCTGGAAATGAATTCTCAACTCTCCTGCAGATTCGGTATGCCAAAAGTCCTAAGTTCAGCACAGACTTATTTCTAACAGGGAAAAGCATCAACATGAACACCCATGTAATAGTTTCCCAGGAATGAGCATACTTTGAGCTGGGCTGGGTCACGGATGCACGAATTCAGCGCAGCAGCCGGGCTGGGGAGCGGGATGTGCTGCTCACCTGACTGTGGGGCTGAGTGCTCGGAGCTGGGTGAGTTGGAGCACTCTGAGCTCTGTCCTGGGCAGGCATGAGATGAGAGATGGACAGGAGCTGCCTCTGCCCCACTACATCTGTGGGGAGAGACTGGAGGGAGCTTCCCAGCTGGCAGGAAGGGAGCAAGTGGCTTCTGGGACCAGCGCACCTCGTTAAGGCAGTGGCTGTGTGCCTGGGTTTGTGGTGACGCAGAGGCATCGCCCTGGTCCAGGGGCTCTGGGCTTGGGGACCTCCATCCCAGAGGAGGAGTGAGGGGGGCTGGCGGGGTGGCAGCGGCGGCTCCGTTGTCCCTGTGATATAGTTGCCTCCCTGGAGGCACACGAGGAGCAAGCCGAGGTGGCATCCCGCTGGTTGGCAAGTGCTGGGAAAGGAAATACAAGTTTAACCACATGCTTGTCATCAGCCTCTGCCACTAAATATCCTCCCCGTGCTCTGGAGCAGTTACACAACGGGGAGCAGAGGCCAAACCAGAAGTATTCACGGCCTTGGTGGAGCAGCTTGAGACATTGACTTGTCCACAGAGTAAGTTGCTTATTGGGAAATTTTGTGGTGACAGCGTCCAGAGGATGGAAATATTTCTCGGCAGGCGGCTCGCTGGGAAGGGCTGTGGTGAGTGGCCAGATACGGTGTTACTGTGCACCATGAGCAGCAGACGAAACCTCAGCCCCTGTGGATACCCCCAGTCTGTCCAAAATGGCTGTGAAGGTTTTCACAGAAGCTTTCTTCCTGCTGTGGTTCAAGGTGGTGGGGATGGGTCCGTGTTCCCTGTCCCCTCCATGGATCCCAGCATGGAGGGAGTGAAATGGGAGGCAGCTCCACAGGCTCGGCTCACCGGGAGGAGCTCTGCTCTCTGCCGTGTTGGGGAGCTCAGTGGTGTCACCAAGTGCCCTATGCCCACGTCCAGGTGACAGCAGCTCGTGCAGACAAATGTGGTTAGATTTGAACCGGTTCTTTTGAGCCCTTGGGATTGTTTTAATCGTAATGTTCAGGTATCACAACTGTGTCAGCACACCCCCCTCACTCGTCCACATCACCATGTGTCTGCAGCTTTGTATGACGTCGTTTTGCTCAGCCAAAGCAGAGTCTGATGGTTTTTCTGACTGTTGCAAGGAATTTGGGGTTATCCTTTGTTCTGTGGATCAGCACAACTCCAACATGTAACTTTGGTTTTTAAACCTATTGGAGCTCTTGCTGGTGCTGAGGTTACTCC